TATAAACCTTAAAGTAATCTCATGATCGTCGGTAGAATTAAAGCACTCACCAGCAGCATGATTGAGTCGTCTCGATGCGGAGTAACTGAGCACTCCTCTCTTTCCTTGCGTCTCCATCCTCTGTTTATATGCAGGCAGGCTACACTGGCGTGTGCTGCGGTGCATTTCCACTATGACTGTCCCTGATTGTAATCTACAGATAAGATAATGCTATCTGAATTTCATATCCATTTACATCTCCATCACTTTATATGCATTTCTATAATTCCCTAACAACAAATGGAAAAACTTCTGCTGATCGTTTGTACCTTTTTGTTCTCCTAAATGCTTTCTTTACTTGACCCCATTATGTCATAATGAAGTCACAGCACATAGGAAAAGCTGTGTGAAATGTTCAAGTGTGAGCTAGGTTACACTTTCATGTGTCTGATCTCGCAAAAGGGTGTGAAAATGTTCAACTTTGGACCTTTTTTTTGTGGCTGATAACAGATTACTTATTACTTTTAAGTCCTAAAATTTGTTTAAAAAGCAAAAACAGAAAAGTATCTTTGAATCTTAAGAGAAAAAAAATGAAGAGGGGCATTTTATCAACAAAAACAAGATTAAGGAAAAACGTATTTGTCTTGTTAAAAACATCTCAGCTCAGAGGCCTGCAAGGTTGACAGTATACCTTTAAGAAACTCTTTTTAACAGCTTCAATTGTGATTTATTTTTCCCAGTCGTATAAAACAAATGACTAGTAACACTCCCACACATTAACGAATCGTAAACAATGTAGGTCAAGTAAATGCTGGTGAGAATTCTGGTAAGCAGAATTACTAACGTGTGATAACATCTCCTCTCTGCATGCTTTGTATGAGTAAAGAGCCAGCTAACTGGAGCGCGGATGCTCTGGATTTACACTGAAGGAAGGACAGGTTTCACAAGCACACCTCAAACTCTGCAAAATCCACCTGTGCCTTTCTCTATTTTGGCAGTGGGCCTGTGATGAGCATCTATTATTGAAGCTTGCAATAATCTTTTATACAGTGAGAATGGGTTTCCTGGTCAAATGTATTGTGGCCAAAAGGTGCACAACGTTAGAACGGCTCAAAAAATTTCCATTGTCAGAAACGGGCTGAAGTTTAAAAAACGATGCAAATAAAAATGTGCCAAAACACATCTAAAGGAAGAGACATCTTCAGTAACTTTGTATGCACAGTGTTTAGAAAACATTCACCAACTTGGGCCAGCTGTCAGAGTCTGTTTCGTCATTGTAAGCAGTGGCGGTTCGAGACAAATTTTACTGGGCGGGGAATTATTAAATGAGAGGGGCACATTTAATTCACAAAGAAGAAGATTTTAAATGTTTTAGTTTAGTATAAAGTCAAAGCGCTTTAAAAAATATAAAATACCATTAGGCGCGTTCACACCGCAGTACTTTTCCCACTTTAGTTCCGATATGGTTCCGAAATGTTGCGTTCACACCAAAAAAATCCGGAACTAAAATTAGTTCATGAGAACTTTTTTAACCCCTTTTCCGTCCCTGCTAGAGAGCAGGTACTTTCGTGGGAGAAAAAGGTTCCTATTTCTGATTGGCTGGGCGGATTGCAAACCACACCCCGTAAAACTCCCAAAAAGTTTTGTGAAGCCGCCATTTTATTATCCTCACATTATTATCCTTGCATTAAGCATTATTAGTATTAGCCCAGCGCACAAACGCAGAGAGACTAACTTATGGCAATACAAAAGAAAACATGGGAGCAGTGGAGATGAGGAGGTGTCGGTCTTCTGGCGATTTACTCGGAAGGCTTCAGTAGAAGCTGCTTGGACTCCCAGC